GATCACAGATGGCAGTAATCGTTTGCACCATAGCACCACCATTCCATAATTCCCAAGAACCAGAGGCACGGACAAGAGCGGTGTAGTGGCCAGGAGCATGTAGAATATAGGCACAAATGTGCGAACAGGGGTCCAGGTCGCCACCCAAAGGGACACGCTGCATATCAAGCCGGCGCCTTATCAAAGCAGTCTCCAAAACAGAGACATTGAATCCCCMATGTCGAGTGTAATTACTATCTTGTGGGGGATGCAGAGTCGGGTTATCGCCATATAACTCACGTTCCTGATCATCAAGATCGGAAGCAATGGCCAARAAATCAGAGTGAGTATATGGTTCCCGATGATAGGCTCGTAGGCATATGTTAGTAGCAGCGAGGCCACACAGATTCGGTGGAGGCCGGTCCGACGGATTTTCTACAGAATATCCTACAGTCCCCTTGCCAAGTTCATCCTCAGATGGTCCCTCGCCATCATCCCTCCTATTTTGTGTTTGTCGCGTTGCAGAAAGGTCTGCAGTCGAAGAGCATCGCAGGCGTGGTAAGGATGCTTGGGGCGGCAAAAGACGGGGACGAGATGTTGGGGAGGGCCGTGGTGGGGAGAATGAACGGGTTCTTCATCCAAGAACAGAGATGGAGGAAAGGGGAGTAAGCTGAGGTTGGGAAGTAGGCCTAAGCCGGCGTCTAGGACAGTGAAGTAGGCTTCCTGCAGCGGCAGAACATGATGACGGAATCTGTGTGGACAAAGTGGTAATATATATCTGCGATGCTCAGTGGACTCTTGCACCTTTAAAAAGAGAGTTGGCAACTCTCCCCGGCCAATAAATAGATACAAGTAGAAATAACCAAACCACATAAACAAAATGCCAATATCGAGCGGCAGCTTCAAACCCGAAATGGAATCTTCGAGCAAGATGACCCATGTGCTGATAAACACAATTCGTTGAGAGACGCAAACTCTCGGGCAGATATACAGGTCTCCTTGTATTAATTAATGCAGGATCCGTTGCTAGTACTAATGTTTTTGTTTATGGGTATCTGGAACTCGACCCCAAAAAAAAAAAAAAAAAAAAAAAAAAAAAAACACTGCACGTGAAATCAATGAAAGTGGGAAGCTGAAAGATCACGGTGACATCTGCGGAATCTGATTGACCCACTTTGCTATCAGGGGCGAGCGGCCATATGTTTTTGTGGTTTCCTGCTAAAATGAGAGAGAGAGAGAGAAGAACTGACTACTCTCAGACTCCCAGTTTCACGTCGAGAGTTGAGGGTCACGGAGAGAGTGCTGCAGGCGGAGCACTCTCGCAGAAGCGAGAGAGTGCTATCGAAGGCGCCTCTCTGACAACTCTTGATCGATTGTCGAGAGTGGCGACTTTGAGAGCATGTGGAGCGGTGCTCCGCTCTCGAAAATTGAGGAATCGAGAGTAGCGGAGTGAAGCCCCTTGAAGGATAACGAATGGATACGATGAATCTTATCCTGCATATAAAACCATCAGCACCATACAAAACTTCAGGAGAAGGTGAACCGATGCACTCTCTCTCTCTCTCTCTCTCTCTCTCTCTCTCTCTCTCTCTCTCTCTCTCTCTCTCTCTCTCTCTCTCTCTCCT